TATAAAATAGTAGTTTCCATTTTCCTTTCCATTCTTACCCCTATATAAACCCTCTTATAATATAGTAGTTTCTATTTTCCTTTCCATTATTACCCCTATATACACCCTATTATGATATAGTAGTTTCCATTTTCTTTTGCATTATTACCCCTATATAAACGCTACTATAATATAGTAGTTTCCATTTTCTTTTCCATTATTACCCATATATCAACCCTATTATAATATAGTGGTTTCCATTGTCTTTTCCATTATTACCCCTATATAAACCCTATAAAAAAAAATATTATTGTAGTTTGCTTTTCTTTTCCATTATTACCCCTACATAAATTCTATACTGGGTAGGTCCCTAAGAATGGAGCATCAAACGAAGATGTACAAATGAAATGGAAAATGTTTGGGGACTATGCAGCAGGGCTTAGAGATAGAATAATGCAGAATCAGATGAAAAGAGAATGCAAAGTGAAAGGGAAACTGGAATGACAGGGGGATTGACGGTCTGGTTTCTAATCTAGGTACGTTACCAAATATCGGTGTTGTCTATACTATACAAGCTTTTACCAAGTTGTAACAACATGAAACCGTAAAACTGCACAGGCGCCGGGAGTGGCTTTACGTAAGTTCATTTCCCGCATCTGCCTGCAAAAATCTATGAAGCTAACCCCGATAGCCCTACAAGGAGAAGCTGCAGACTTCAGAGACCTCAAGAACCAACAAAACCCGGAAGAGAAATGGCCATGTCTGTGGCCAGGTCACTTTGAAGCCCAGGACCATGCTAGAAATGACCTGAAAGACTCAGACTGCCAGCGGCTGGGTGAGGGTAGGAGCTTGAGCTTTGGGGCTTCTGCAACAGCATGCCTGCTGTCCTGTGGACTTACAACATCTTGTAAGCAAGGGACCGCTGGGAATACACTTCATTTCAGGGGGATCATGACCACAAAGCAGACCTACCTTATGTTCATTTTGGGGACAGCATTTTGAACAAACACCAGATAGCCACGATTGAAAAGACAGTAATCTTCATGGCCAAAATCCTAAACCTGAAGCCTAAACCCCAAACCTCCGACCGACGCTAAACCCTTCACATTTTGTCTGAGGGTTCCATGGTAATATAGGCACGCTCAGAGATCCTTGAAATCCAAGACATGGTTCAAGGAATCACTACAGAAAATAGGGTTTATATAGGGGTAATAATGGAAAAGAAAATGGAAACTACTGTATTATAGTAGGGTTTATATAGGGGTAATAATGCGAATGGACGAAACCTTGCACCACTTAGGATCCCAAAAGTCTGCAATTAGATAGTGCTCCATACTCTAAGGAACTGTCATGCTAATCCCTGCTAAGCACCAGCTGTCCTTAGGTCCGCCAAGATCTCAACCTCCAAAAGTCATTGTTGAAAAAGATTTGAAACTCTCTTCTTGATGTGACAGGCTTCAAGAACTTTGCAAATTGGTGATACTGGCTCCTGCATCAAAAGGCACAAACTTAGGTGGCGGATCTGGTGTATGAGCGCAGTGCACGCGTCTCTGAAAGGTTAACTGAGTGCCTGGCACATGTCAAAGCCACCCCACTCACATCCATCAGCCTGGCCGAGTCCACTCCGAATTGCGTGCCTTGTGCATGCTACTGCTACACCCGAAACCATAAACCTTAGACCCTAAACCCTAGACTTTAAACCCTGTTAACCTTGAAGCTTGATCCGCGATTCCAGTTCTGAACAGGCTGTAATTTGCCTTCATAAGCCCTAATCATCCGTAAATAATCTCAGTCCAGAGAAACTACGGGCGGTTTGGAGAACCCATTGTAGCAAGCACAAAGCAGGCGATCGCAGTTTGTAAGCAATGCCTGAAAGAATCTTGATGGGCAGCTCACTGCTTCAGATATACTTACCAGCAGCAAGTCGGGAATGAAAGGCAAAGGTATAGCCAGTATACTAATGGATGGTATATGGACTACTATACCATTATGTGTAGGTGTTTCTTCAAGCACATGCAGTTGATAGTGAGCCTTGCCAAGTACCCAAAGCCTGCATGCACACTGCTACTTGCAACTCGAGTCTTGCAACAGTGTCATTCAACTGTCTCAAGTGGGTAGAATGCAAAGCCAAGCCTTAAAGAAACTCTTATGCGGATCCCTTTGCCCAAAAAAGGTTTACATGCAGGCAAACCCGAATTTCCCGCTGGTGTCCCCAAACCTTAAACGCGGAACACAGCAAAGTCTGGTCCAGGTGGCACTTGGATCGTGGCGCCGGCATGCGCGGGATCTATGCCTAGCCTGAACTAGGTTTTGCGCTTTCGGCTTTAAGGTTTCGGACTTTTTTATCGGACCTTTTCTCCAACAGGGTTTCGGGTTTGGGGTTTAGGGACCTGGGGTTTCGGGTTTAGGATTGGGGGATGGTTTTGGGTAAGTTTGGGGTGTAGGGCATAGGAGTGGGGATGTGGCAGCGGGATTGAAGAGGCCACAACATACTTCTGACTGGCACTAGTTCACGGGCACGCGAAGTAAGAATCCCGTAACCCCTCAACCCTGAACCCCAAACTGACGGGTGGACTTTCTACAGGCAAAGACATTGGGGATAAGCTTGCCAGAGGGGAAAAAATTGGTGGTTGAAACGAATAAAGTTATGTATACATGGGACATATCATCGCAACCCTGCAAACTGTAGCATCCCCATTCCTAACTCTGCACATCTGTGGAAGGGCTACACAACAATGGTAGCTTCTCAAACAAATGGAGGTACCCTAGGACCCGAGGGATATATGGTATTTACAAGGAGCTTGTATGAATCCCTGTTAGGGATCTATGGGGATTGCTTTGAAAAACTTCCACATCACAAAGCATCAGCTGCACACCTTCAGTATTAAAGGTTTTTGGGATGAAGAAACCAATTGCTCAGCAGCCCACACCCTATTGGGTCTAGGGTTTAGGATTTGGGCATTTCTCTGAAGAATCCTTGTATAATCCGTAATCAGGGGCCCCGATCACCTTGTAATGCCCATATAACGCTTCGGTTTAGCCCGCACATCTGCTTCTTCCACTCAAGAATGCCCCTGCTCCAAAGCTGCTTGTTGAGGATGATTGGCAGGGCAGCACCAAGAGCTGTTGAGCAGAAAACGATCACTAGCCTGGGATGAGGGTGCCGGGTTTAGCGGTGGGCACAATGAGCACACATGCACTTTCTGTTTCAATCACTGGGCAAGAGGGAGGAAAGGATGCCGTGGGTTCTGTAACCAGCTTCTCAGACAACACAAAAAAACTTGACAAGGGAAGGGGGACTCCGAAGCTCATGTCGTTACAGTAGGTCCAGCTGGGATCCTCCAGAACCTTCCAAGCGCGCCCCAACTCCAATCTGCACACCCTTCAAAAAAAAACGAAAAACAATGCTTGCCCTTAAAGGGTTAAACGCTAAACCCTAAACCCTGAACCCTAAACCCCCAAACCCTGAAACCCTAGATGATGTCCAGGCACATCGATAAACAAATGGCCACACACTCAGCGCCATAGACCTTGGCCATGCCATCTCTGATTTGAGACTTTCCGGCAAAGGTGCGGTTCATCCTAGAAGCCCAATAGTAGCACAGCAAGACCAAAAGTAGTAGTTCTACAAACGACAAGAATAACAAGTTAGATGATGACATTCACAGTGATAGTACTACATATAAAACTGCGGTGCAAGCTGACCTTGAAGATGGCGCAGCGCAGGAAGGCAGCCCCAAACAGGACCAAGGCCAACTTGGCACCCACCAGGATCTCCTGGGCTCAGGAATTCGCGGCTTAACTGTTGGGGCTCCAGGGTCAGGGTTTAGGACCCTGGGTCTGAAGTATATAGGGTTCAGGATTGAGGCTTCGGGCCTGGAGTTTAGGATCTTAGGAGTAAGGATCTGGGCTTAGGGTTGAAGGCTTGTAGCCCAAGCGCTCATGACACAAATACAGCCCCTCAGATTTCGATCGATGCCACTATTAGACGCAAACCAATGAACACTCAACCCGCAAGGACGTGTTCAGCAGCGGTTGCTCAAGACCCTTGACCAAAGCAGCACCGAACCAACTAAGCTTCTGGGCCCACGATGCGCCTCACTGACACAGAGGGCTCCACCCCTCGTGCCTGCTGAAGCGGGCCGAGATTTTCGGAAAGGCGAGTTTGGGATCATCGGTGGTTAGAGTAATGGAGACCCGAATGGAAAAAGACTGGGAAGCGAAATGGAAACTCGGGTTTAATGGGGGGTTGTAAGGTAGAAGCCCTACCTCAAGTCTGCAGACGTGTGGCTCAAGCTTGCATCTCAAAACAAACCAATAAGCATCATAACAGCAGAAGTGGTTCATTGCCACTTGCGGGGGTCGAAAAAATGGCCACCTATTTAGGGACGACTCATAGGAATGCTTTGGGCCCCGGTGTTAAAAAATTCCTACGCTTCCAGGCTTCCCCGCTTCAAATGGAAGCATGCAGACCACCAAGTAACCCTCCAGTCCAAAACCTATACATCCCAGTCAAAACTCTAAAACTCACAAAAAGTTGCTGCGGGCTGGGGGTCGGCATGTTAGCTTAGGGAGACACGATGCCTTCCAGTGCGCGCTTGCGAGGGCCAGGCGTCGGACGACCAAGACCTTGAAGGTCAGCTTGAGGTGGCATCTAGGGCTTACACCCCCACTCAGGAATCACAGCATAGGCTACCCTGACACCAACGTGATCATAATGATTGTGATCCTTTTTTCTCACTATTTCTCTGGGGCCGTGATTACTTCTCCTGCTCCTCCTTTTCCTACTCCTCTTACTACTACTACGATGACGACGACGACTACTACTACTGCTGCTACTACTGCTACTACGACTGCCTATGTGGTCTGGGCCGGGCAGCACTTTCAAACTTCAACATGCACAGACTTCCAAGAAGTCTGCGAACCGCTACGAAAACTTCTGGCATGTGTTCGCTACTTACATATTCCGTGGGAAGACTTCAAGGCAGCACAAGGTCCAAGAATTTTCACTACAGCCTCGGGGCATGGTCAGACGCGTTGTAGAAACAGCTATCTGGTAGGACACCTCCATTTCTGCACATTCCGCATGCCCCTTTCCATACCATACTTCTTCAGCAAATTCACATGCCACACAAAGGTGTGAAGCCAGCGGAAGACATTGTACCGAGGTACGGTGCTTTGCCCTCCCGCGTTCCCGCCCGCCCCAACAAGCATCGTCAAGAAGTAGATCACCGTAGGATGCGACTTGATGAGGAACCTCAGTGAAAACACGCAGCACGTAACTTCAAAGACCTCCAATTGCAATGCAAAACCAACATGTCACAACAGCAAGATAGGATGATCAGGTGGACCCTAGACTTGGACGACAAATCTTGTCAGCACTTGGGTGCTGAGGTCTGCCCTGTGCGTGTTGGTGATCAAACACCCAAAGATATAGCAGAAGCGTCTGTGCTCCCTTGTTGCTCCAAATTGCAGCTCGGTGAATCCACACCGTTCAATGCAGGACCAAAGGCTTGAATTAAGCACCTACTCAAATGCCTTCCTGAAGAAAAAAGCGCAACTGCCACATCCATCACTGCGTATCAGCTTATAGCTCTTGTCCAAATGAGCGGTCGTCTGAACTCCTAGTATGCCCCTTGAGTAACCCCTATAATACTCCCCTAAATAATCCCCGACAAAACCCCCTTTCAGGACTCTAGAGCTATAGTCCAAATGATGGCCAAGTAGCTCAAAACCTTGGTGGCTGCAGGTATGAGTTCACATCCTACAACCCTGTTTAAGGTTTAGGGCTCCCTCAGAGAACCTCTACTTGTACATGGTGTATGCATATGGGATTGCAGGGTTGAAAGGTTTCAGATCCATGGGTGTCTGGGTTATGCACCGGGATCTGGGATCTGTTGTGGCATTGGCTCCGTAAGCATCTGGACCATGAACTGTCTCCAGTGCAGTAGTAGAGTTTCGAGCTAGGAGGTTGAGGCCGCCAGAGGCAATAAGCGTTGGTTTGCGATGTCAACATGATGCAAGCACGTAGCAACACGACTGGAAATTCGGCGTTGAGAAAAAATGGCCCAGACCCACTTCTCCCAAACAATAATTACATCGCCGCACGGAACCATTAACGAACATCATCAGTCCGAACCACACCGAAAGGGACAGGACGTTCACACCTTCCAGCCTGCACTTTTGTGGGATAAAGTTGGTAGGACATTTGGGAACTCTGGACATAAAGATCTCAACATATCCACTGCAAGATGAACACCTGAATGGCATCCAGAACTGCTTTAGAAGGTTCACTACATAGCATACATCCCCGCAGACGGCAGGGTGCTTCCTTCAGGAAACCCATGCATGATGTAACGTACCAGGCAGCGCTGTAGGATGAAGGAAGAGCTGGACTGGCAAAAAAGCAGCAGCACCAACCAGCCCGCGCGGTGCCAGAAGATCTGAAGGGTCGCAGCTGTGCCGTCCTGGCAGATCCCCCAAGCCTGTTTTGACACCAGGTAGTTTCCCAAAATAGGGGGACCCCAATATAGACCCCAAAATATTCTAGTCCTTATTATAGGGACCCCAAAAAGGTACCCATAATTTTGGGAAACCTCCATCAAGCGCTTTCAAATGAAGGCCTCTTTATCTGCACTTCCCACCGGCGAAAAGCACGGCTTATTCCGAGATTTCCCAACTTGAACTTCCAAGAACAAAGCCCAAGGACGACAGCTTGCAGCCTGATGCATACACTTGGAGCAAGGCCATCAGAAACTTAAGAATCTACTTGGATGCAATTACCCAAAGAGAATGCTTCGAAGCTGACAATAAGACCTCAACCTTATGCCGTGGCGTGCCTCATGGTAGGAATGACTGACTGAATGAATGATTACTTCGAAGTTGCTGCAGAGATTGCTGGACCAGCTTCAACAAAGCTCAACTTGACATGTGAAACAACGCTGTGGATTTCTCCTCGTCCGGGACCGCTGGCAGCCTCCATGAGCAAAGTGAGTATTGCAGGGAAGGCTCTCAAGCTGTGAGATCTCAAGCTCCAACTAGGTACATCTTGGCTTGAATTCGATGTCTTGTTGTGGTTTCCAAAACTTTGCGTCCAGTGGTTTACATCAACAACAGAATGCGAGAGCTGCATCAAGAGACCATCTGGGAATCCATGAGGATAGGAGTTCAAAGAGTTACGAAACAAGAGGCGTCCTGTGCTTTGCATCGAAATCTTCGCGCAGGAGAAGCCATCTGGTGTTTCACAATGTCTGTATAGCAGCTTGTATCTGGCGCTAGCTGCCCAGAACTTATCCATGCGGCAAGCTAAACCAGATTTCTTGTGTCAATGGCGGGCCCGTGGGACCTTGAGGATATGTGGGACTTCTAGTGAAATTCAGGGAGGTTTCTAGTGATGCGCAAGGACTGTTTTCAGAAACTCCACAAATTTCTTTTAAGAGGCCCTTCTAGGGGCTTTCATGGTTTGGGTGTATGTGGGGACCTGACGTTGAACCATGTCACATTGCTCCAACACATGAAGCTACCTAAATCTAAGCCTTCTGAACAAGGCAACGCCCCAAAACCATCCAAAAACGTCAAACTGGGATGCTGTTAAGGAACTCAAATTACGTGATCATTATATTCTTTATAAGGCCATCCCCATTATTTACTATCTCACCATATTGACGTGGCCGAATCCGAGACCCAATAGAAAGCAGATCCTAGTGCAGAGCCTGGACACACCATCGCCATTTGCAGACTCTCGCTTGCCAGCACGACAGCTGCGGTGGCGCATCTCCGAGGCCTCCTGGGTTGAAAGATATCTGATTTCTGTGGAGCTTGAAGCGGTCAGGTCAAAATTAAAGCGATCTTGCTCCATGTCTAGCACGGCCATGTGTTGGAGTACGTCATGGAAAACCATAAAGCTCTGAAATGATAGTGAAATTCGTTGCAACAAGCAGACCTGGAACCAGACAAACATTGCCTCAAGTTGAGGTTGGCCTTTGGGGTCCAAGGTTTCAATTGCAACTAATTTGTGACAAAATCTCCTTGATAAGGGGCCCCCATAGTCCGGTATTTATTCCTGTAGGGTCCTATCAAGCAACCCCATCCCCAGAAATTCGCATATTACGGCATTCTGGCTCGCCATCTGCAATCTTGGCAAGCAACTGAAGAATGGCACGGTGAACATTTCAGCAACAAATAATGGCTCAAGTGTTGGTGGTTTTTCCGCATGCCCCTATTCGCAACTTCCCTCAACTTCCACAGCTCAGAACATGCACAGTGTCAGCGTTGCAGACAAGAACCATGCGACATAATTCTGCTTGTGCATCCTAAACTCATATTTATCAAGAGAATTGCCGTTGTCTCGACAATATTTTCTTCATTTTCCAGCTTGCAAAAACCGCTTGCCCTTGTGGTTCTACGACAAGGCACCTGTCCTAATAAAAATATGCTTGCTTCCGCTGTGGAGACCATCCCATCTAAATTCCGAAGTCTACGCCAACAACGCATGTAGCTTACAGCCGTTATGGACCAAGCATCATCTGCATCTGATGCACTGCCACCTTGCTTCACAACACGTTTGCATGATGAAAGCATCGCTTGGGGACAATTTCACATCTACGATTCAACATCGCAATTTTCGCAAAGGACGTCAGACACTGCGTGTTGCGGATCGCTTGCATGATGCTTTAGGAAAGACCGTGGTACGTAAAGCAAGCGCCTTTCACCGAAACCACACAACAAGCTCCAATTCAAACCATGCCATCGAACAGCTCCCGTGCTTACCTCCATCT